ATATTAATTAGAATTATGGTGCTATCTGTCTATAAAGAAAATTATACTCTAATTTAAATATTTCTATACTTCTCCCCAATTTATAGTCATTTGTCCCGAAAAAAAAAAATTCGAAAAAATGTCAGTGCTTCGATATACTTTGACAATCACAATTAATTGAGATATCTGTTAATATTTCAAGAGAGTATCTACGAGAGCTTCAGTTCACTGAACGAACCCATTGCCTATTTGTGTGCTATTATAACGGGTGTAACTGAAATAGGATTCGCCCCATTTTTTAAATTATAATATTAATAAATATAAATATCAAGTCATGGCGACAATACATGGAATTGTAAAAATAGGAGAATACATATCTTATATCGTGCGCTTAGAGGTTAAAGAATTTAGATGCATCTAGATCGTAAATCAGACATAAATTTAAACAAAATAAAGCTGACACGAATGAGTCGCTAGGATGATATGGTATTTCGATCCTGAGACCCAGAATCAAAAATATCTTCACTGTATTGGTAGATATTTTAATACCAGCTATGAACGATTTATCTTAAAGTCATTTCGTTAAATGCAAAGCTTCTCGGAAGGTGCGAGTTAAATCAGGATTGTCATGGTTTTGGCGAATGCGCCGGTATGATTCTACGTCTCGGATTTTGAGGATTTCACGTTAAACAGTTAAATCGAATCATTCTTATTTACATCCCTATGCTTTGTCGGAACATTTATTTGCCTTCAATTTGAAAGATTCGTCCCTTTTGTCTTGTTATTACGAGTAACATTTTAACGAATTATTTACGCCTACAATAGGGAGATATAGACAGTTGACCGTCACTACACCACACCACACTACACACAGTGTGGAAATATGCCATCTTTGTCACTCTTAAGAGTCAGATATGCTCGCTTTCTCTCTCAAAGCAAACAGGAGGCTATAGACAATTGCGCAGGGGCCTCTGCCAGCATAGGATATAAGTAAAATGTGAAAGAAAAGATCACCAGCATATGGGATATTTTGCATATTGAATTTTTAAATCAAATATGAAATATTCACTATATCGTATACGAATGACAAAAAAAATACAATACGTGTTATCAACTAGGTCATACATAGCGGTATTGACCCCCCAGGTTATTTTTTAAACGATTTGTAAAATATTTGCGAAACACTTTTTTTTCAGAATCAGGTGGAAAATATAACGACAGATTTCATATTTCATCAAAAAATATTGGTTTTCTATAAAGTTACGCCATTTTGAAATTTTATTTTTGATTCATTTTTCACTGTGCAAATTTCAAAAAGGCGCAACTTTGTGAAAAATCAATATTTTTTTATGAAATTTGAAATCTGTCGTTTTCCACCTGATCTGAAAAAAAAATGTTTCGCAAATATTTTCCAAATCGTTTAAAAACTAACCTGGGGGTGCTAACAATTTTTCCAACTTTTTTTTCGCAATTTTTTTCTACAAAACTTCTTAATTTAGTCTTGATAGTTATGCCTTAGAGTATCGCTTGGGTCCCATGCTCCGATACTAAGATATAACAGCCTAAATTTCACCAGTCGCCGCTGAGTATTGTTATAAAAGTTCTTAAAATCTAAATACTGTAAAAATTTTAGCCTATACTTAATTAAATGTTTAGGGTTGATAAGTTCTTTGATGCATTCATCGTCAATATAAATAACAGTATCATTCCTTTTCAGTACTAACATGTGTAATTGACTAGATATTTAAAAATTTTCAAACTCCACTACGGTCTCGATGAATTTTTTTCCTTATCATTATCGGACACAATATGAATATTTGCAATGAAATCGTACCAGTCCAAATCCATGAGTAAAATTACATCACTTGAACTGATAAGGCTTGCTGACGCGTGGTCCAAATTGCTATTCTAGTTGGATAAAATTAAAAATGATGGAAAATGCTATGAGATTTTATTTAAAATAATGTAAAAATCTCTCTTAAATAATTACAGCTCATCGTTAAATGAGCATCTAATCTCTTCGTCTGTGGTATCTTCTTCTACGCTAGTTTCACTAACTTCTTTTTCGTCAGAAGCACTTTGCAACAAATGAGAGACTCTACGGGGAGATTTTCGTACCGTTTTTATTGTAATAGGTACTCTCTTGTTAGTTATTAGTGGATCGAAGGTGATTAGCAACATATGCAGCATATCTTCAGTGGTAGATTTCCTTGATATCCTTCTTGAATGATGCCCACGAAACCGTTTGCAGTCTTTATATCGAACTTCTTGTGCTTTCTCAGAAATTTACTCAATTGGTACTAATAGAGATTCGACAATTTGTGTATTATAATTTGTGGACACTTGCCCGCATGTAATACCAGTTATAGATATCGACATATAACTTTGCCGTATCCATAGTATATTACCCTAATACCTCAACACTGATATTGTAACCATTGGCAATTGCTTTCAATATTTTAATATTACTTCAAACCTTCTAATCAACACTTCATCAATACCGGTTGTTGATGATGACAAACTTGGATTGACAGAAAGTTTCCGTGCGGTGCAGTGTTGCCGTTATTTGTTGTTGCGTTCTCTGGTTTTGCTATATCTACTAGTAAGTCCAGTTCATTTCGGAATCTGCCTTGAATCAGTTTTTTTTTGTCTCCACATTTTCCTTACCTGTTTTTCTGACTTGCCAAGTCTTTACTTCAAGTCGGTATGGGATAAGAAGTAGACATTCAAAACACCTGATCCATGAATGGAAACGTGACAAGCCAAAGGAAAATGTTGTTTCATGAGTAGGTTATGTGGAGTGGCTCTCGAAGTTATTCATTTCTTTGGGTGTTGCGCCACATATGTAACATTTTTTGAAATGATTTTTGGGTGAAAGTACTGCAAACTTTCCCATCTGCCATAGTTAACAACATTTTCAGTGCGATGCAGAATTCTTTCGAGTTGAATTTTTGTTGGTGAAATTATTATTAATTTTCCATCCTTCTTACTTCTTGTCTAGTGAGCGCTGCTGTGTCTTTCGCAAAAAGCAATTTTCGGTCGACAATACCAAGTTGCGGATGTCCTTGTATTTTGTTATAACATCTTATCATTAGTTTCAGCTGTAGAGGTACCAACGAAATCACAAATTAAAATGCATCACGTGGTTCATCTATTTCTTTAGTGTATACTTGCTTATAGGTACTCTGCCCTGAAGCTCCATCGCAACCCCATTTAAATATCATTGTTACGCTAATCTCGGGCATGGTTATTACAGTTTTGAATATATCATTATTTACAATAAGAAAACGTTGAATCGTATGAGCAAGTAAAGCTTGAAGGTTTACTTCCGCTGATTTTTCCGTAATAATAATATCACTGAGATAACATTCCTTCTTTTGCTTCCAAATATACGACGGATATATATACGACGGATATATATTCGCATTTTGCTTTTTGACTTGATGACGGATTATTATCCATTGTTTCTTTGTCAATTTCACATCAACATACAACGCTAAAATTTCTTCTCCTGTTAATTTGTTGCTACAGGTTTTTCTAGGGATTTGTATGCTATTTTAATTCGAGTTTCTCTCTTCGGCGAAATATTCATGTTTTTGGCAATTTCTGCTGCATCTCTTCTTCCATTTGACCGTAACTCAATTGCGCGTCGTAAATCAATTCATCGGAAGATGATTGAGACACCAAAGGGCCCTAGATTCTGCAGATAATTCTCGCGACTTACGATATTGGTGGTATTTGGTGTTAAAGTATCCTGGGATGATGAATCTGGTTCTCTCAAAGCAACTACGTTAGTTACTATGTCGGGAAATTCTAACTCAGAATTGAGCCACTCACAATTTCTCGATAAAATTTTTTTGCAATATACGATGGCTTTTTGGTACCTGTCTTTCAAATGTACATAAAAACTATCAGCAACATTCTGTACACACATTGTTACGTGTTCATCACAGTCTTCTAAATGCAAATTATTTATTATTTAACTATACACAACGTTATTCCGATTGGAAAAGTCTTCAGAATGCCATATCTCGAATACTGCTCGACGCGTGAGTTCACCTTCCATAACGGTAAACCAAATAAATAAAAAAGTTGCTGAGATATGCACGTGAATTTAATAATGTATACTTTGCACGAATAGTTTTGTATAATGATTACAATTACCAGACGGAGGATAGCAGAGAATTTTTTATAAGTTTCAGTAAGAAAGTCTTATCCTTGTAATTTTACAATAAAATTTAAATCAAATCTCTTACAACAAAGGTGCTTACCTATGAGTAATAACGTCAAAATACAGATTAATATATACTAAATATAATTTTTCACATGTACTGTTATCGTAACGCTTGTAACCAAACTGATGAGTATGTTGTAATCGGGGGCGTCCCCTATAGACTTTTTCTACCTGCTGCAGGTAAAGAACGCGGTACTTGAGGGCATATCTGAAACAGTCATTGAAAAGTAGATTTGGGTTGTTAAAACCTCTTTCTAATGACCTCATAGTTTTTACTTTTATATTACGGTCGAATCCTCTAGCAGTACTTATTCCTGCCAATATTTGTAATGTAGAATTTAATACACATATTTCCAATAAGGAGATGAACATGATGAAATAGATGAAAATTAATTATTATTTTCAATACAAGAATCCAATATTACGACTGTCTTCACTGCTACCACAAATATAAGTGATTCTATGCTGCTACTCAAGTAAATACTAAGATAATACGTATTAATAAATATTTTGATATCTAATAACAATAATAAAAGACATCTTGATACATTAAAAACTTATGTAACTTAAAGAAATGTGAGCAAACTTATTATTTACTAGAATAATTAAAATTCAATAAGGATGCAATTCTTGTTGATATTGATAAAATACAAATACATTATAACAATTATGGTAACCTTTATTCTTATATAATCAATCACATACAGAGTGTTTTATTTTGCAGAGGTTTAGTAATAACAATATCTTTTTATTTCAAAAATATATGTTCTATATGTATTTATTACAAGTTGAAATAACTCAATGGGGAGAGCGCTAGACTGATGTTCTAGAGGCCCCAGGTTTAACTGCCCTGGTTTCAAGAAATTTTATTTTAATTCAGAAATAATTGTTATTCATTATATGATAGGAAATATTAAATATTTCATATTTGATATGTAAAATTCTATTTATCATATGCAAAGTTTCAATAACGCAACGTATGACCTAGTTGATAACACACATTGTATTTCTTTTCTCATTCGTATAGGATGTAGTAAATATATCATACTTAACTTAAAATTTCAATATGCAAAATGTCCCAAGGCGGACGATCTTTTCTTCTATAGCCTCCTGTTTGTGTTTGAGAGAGACCTAATATAACTGACTTTTAGGAGTAACAGGAATGGCATACTATGTGTGGTGCAGTGTAATGACGGTCAACTGTCTGTATCTCCCTACTGCCTATCAACCTAACTAGTGCATCAGCTTCTATCAAACTGTGCGACTTTACGAAACAAAAAAAATTAATAGATATTCTATACCAGCTATAAACGATTTATCGTAAAGTCATTATATTCGACCCAAAGTTCCTCGGAATATACGATTTTTACAGGGTTTTGGCAAATGTGCTGCATATTTTGACGATTTCACGATAAGCAGTTAAATCCAAACATTCGTAATCGAGCATTTTCTAAATACAAAAAATATATTCGACATCAGGGTTATGACGTTGATGCTGCAAATAATAAATGGATATATTACAAGCAGCTAAGGAATTTAGTAACGGCATCAATAAGACGCGAAAAAAAGGCATATATTGAATTTAAACTAAGAGCGAATGCTAGTTCACATGAGTGCGAGTGGTGGAAAACAATAAATCAGTTAGGCGTTCATAATTCAAATTTAAACAGTGATGGTCAAAGTAACTTTGGTAATCCAAATATGTTTAATAACCATTTTATTAATTCTGTTCCGAATACATTAGTTAGTAACGAGGATGTAGATTTTTATAATAACAATACGCTTCAAACTATTATAGGCAAAATGTCTTTAACATTTGTTACCTCAGAAAGTGTTTTAATCGCTGTTAATAGAATTAAATCGAATGCAGCTGGGGTACATGGTTTTTCTTTAAACATGATCAAAATGATATTACCATTTTGTATGGACGCAGTCACACATATAATAAATTTCTCGCTTCAGACTAATACAGTTCCCTCTCAATAGAAAACGGCAAGCGTTATACCTCTACCTAAAAAAAGTGAACCAGAAACTTTAAGTGACTTCAGGCCTATTAGTATTCTGTCAATTTTCTCGAAAATATTAGAGAGGGTAATTCACGATCAGCTAAAACAACATGTACAAATTAATGACTTGCTCCCTCATGCCCAATCTGGTTTTCGCACCGGCCATAGTACTGTTACAACTCTCTTGGATATAAATGATGACTACTTAGCAGCTATAGATAATTCTATGATAACTACAGCCTTTTTGCTTGATCTTACAAAGGCGTTTGATTGTATAAATCATAAAATGCTTTTAGCAAAATTGCACTACTTCGGCTTAACATCAAATACTATAGCATGGTTTCGTAGCTACTTGTCACACAGAATGCAAACCGTTAAAATATATAACAGAGGTCATTTACAAATATCTGATAGTTTAGTGGTCAAATCGGGGGTACCCCAGGGCTCAATACTTGGTCCAATTTTGTTTTCTTTATATTTGGCAGATTTACAGATAATTTGCATGATATGAAAATATATTTATCTTATCGGCCTACAACCGTTGATGAATCCGTGGCAAAAATTAACGAAGATCTGTCTAATATATCCGTATGGTTAGATAAACAGGGGTTAAAACTTAACTGCAATAAAACCATTTCTATAAATTTCAGATCTGCTAGGAGTGATTTTGAAGATAACCTTGTAAAACTATCAATAGCCGGAGAGAAAATTTGTACTAAAAGTGCGGTGAGAAATCTTGGAGTTATTTTCGATTGTCATTTAACTTTTAAAGAACATGTAATAAAGGTTGTGCAATCCTCATACGCTAAACTCAAAACAATTTATCAGTTTAAACATGTACTATCGACAGAAACAAAGCTAAGGCTCTCAAACTCGTTAATCCTGTCCAAGATTGAATACGGAAATGTTGTTTATGGCTCTTGTTTAACAGAAATGGAGGCTTATAGGTTGCAAAAGGTCCAAAACTCATGTGTTCGTTTCTCGGCTAATGTACCCAAACGTGAGCATATCACTCCTCACTTGAAATTAAATAATTGGCTTAATATGCATCAAAGATGGGAGCTCCGCCTTATCTGTCTTGTTTACTCAGTGTTAAAAAATGAGTCAGCCATATACCTCAAAAACAAACTTATTTTTCGAAACCAATACCACAATTCTAATCTCCGATTTGTAGCAAATACCTTGCATATTCCTAGGCATGTAACAACTCTCTTTAAATCTTCTTTTTCATATTTAGCGTCAGAATTGTTTAATAAAGTTCCCCAGTCTTTTATGTCATTATCCTACTCTTTATTTAAGAAAAAATTAAAAACGCTTTTTCTTCTGAATCAGTTTTAAATATTTATGTACTTGTAATAGTTTCTTTTAAATGTTTCTTTTGTCTTATAAATTTTTTTTTTTTGTATTTTTTTTCTCTTCTCACATATTTTGTAAGTTCTATGGATATTTTTTACCACTACTGAAATGATACAATTATGCACACATTGTTTAATATAATGTAGAGCCCTGGTTGACATTCACAGCAGCTATTGAGCTCATTGGAGCTGACACCCCGCCAGGTTAAATAAAGACATTTTTATTTATTTATTATATTTAGATACAACGAATTATCTGTCTGAAAATTTATTATTACTTTGTTTTTGGTAGCCATTTGAAAATTTTAAATTTATTTGCCTCCTATTTGAAAGATGATATTTTGTCTTCTTGTTACGATTGACATTTTATTGATTCATTTGCTACCAACTAGCCTAACTTGTGCATCAGCTTCTATCAAACTGTATGACTTTACCAAAAAAAAAATCCTTTTTCCAAGCCTTTTTTAGTACACAAAACTCAACGCCATGTAATATTACTTATTTGTAGCTTTAACTTATATTCACAAATTTTCCTGAAGAAATTTACTTTAGATTGAAATCAGGTCAGGTTTCCAAATTAAAAAGCAAAGAAAAACTGATCCACGTAAACCATGTCTCAATTACACCCAGTATAAATGTGACTAGGAACATTGTGCAATAAATCTGTTATGTATTGATTTCTACAAGTTATCGATGACCTAAAATCAAAACATTTAAAGTAATTTTATCCAAATAATTATTTCATTATATATTTTAAAGTAAGATATTCACTATATATATTCATATTGAATTAATTCTGTCCCATTTAATGTAGAGTTGAAGTATTATTGTAAACTGTCCATGGTGCGTAAGAACATTGAGTAGGAAACCATTGCTTTAATTGACTAAAAAAATAAAATCTATTAAAGAAATTCTGAAATTAGATTACACTTATAAGAAAAATATTTTAAGTGAAATAAGATACATTTAATTTAAATAAATCTTTTAGATATACGCGAATCCATTCTCCATCTAACAAAAATGACTGGTCTTCATAAATGGTCGTACACCACGTGACCAATTGTTACCTTTAACAGCATCGTCGACTTGTTCCGTCGACAAAAGATGGTTGTAAACTCTTCCTTAGACACATACGTATATGAAAAAATCCTCATCGGGTACTGTCGTAGTATGAAAGACACAAAATCACAAGTTAAAATGTACCAATTGATCACATGGTTTGCGATCATTTATGAAGGCTCTATATATGTTTACCAATTAAAGTTACCTTTCGTTTCAAATAAATCATTTGTGGCTTGTTCTAAAAACTAAATAATCTTTCATCGTAAGAAATACTTATTTTCAAGTGAGACATATTAAGTTCGGATTAAGATTATTTGTTTATCAGTGGAATTATTATTAACGAAAAGAAAGGATATCAAAATTTTTTGAGAGAATTATATCAACAAATTGCCACTGTCATGTGAAGTCTGCCCTCTAGCGTACCTTAAGATACGTTCTCATGCTCATCTTCTTGCGTTTTGCCTTTTTACTGATACATAGTTAAGGACGTAATTGTAAGCAGTAAAATTTCTAGTTGTATTTTCCTTCTTCGTCAATTATAAAAATGCATTATTGAAAAATGTTGCTATCTGCATATCATGTGTTAATTCAGTCACATATTATCTATAGCATTATACTCTGGGGAAATTCCACACAGGCTTACAAAATGTTTGTCTTGAAAAAGATTCAATTAGAATAATTGCATGTGCCAATTACCGTTGTTCCTTAAATATGACATAATGCCCTTTTCAAGCCTTTACATAGTACTACTCTGTATTGAAAATTCATAGAAGTAAAAACACCGTCTCTACACATTCAGACTGTCACAATTATGAAACTGGGTTTTCTAATCTATTTAAAGCAGTTAGATATCATCTTACAAAATTTGCTAAAATCTCATTAGATCTGAAACTCTACAATATAATATCCAAAAATATAAGAAAGCTTGACAATAATAGATTTACAAAAACAAAAATTAAAAACCACATATTGAAAAACAGTTTTTACTCAGTAGATGAGTACATGAGTATTAGTATTCCCATGGAAAATTAGGATACTCTCATGTATATTTTCAGTGTTATGAAATATGCTAACAATTACTCTGATATTCTGTAGTGTAATTCTTTTTTCTTTTACTTTCTTATCTATCTATACTGATAGAGAAGTATTGGCATCGTAAGAAAAATCAATTTCCAGATTATGATGAAAATTGATGTGTTGATAAAATACAAAATTTAACCGAATCGGCATGCCATCTGTGTGTCTGTTTGTGTGTCTGTGTGTCGTTAGTCATTGATTTGCTACCATTTTCTCAAACACATCTCAACGTAAAAATCTGAAATTTTACATATACTATCTGGAGGGTCCAGGGAAGAACTCTATTAAATATCAGTGAAATTGGTGCATCATAGATGGCACGTCTCAAGGGGACCTAAAAAAATTGCGTCAAACCAAAAAAT